TGTACATACCGCAGATATTTTCCCCGTGAGTGTGCTGATGATCTGAGGCACACAGCGGCCCGGGGCGTGCAGCATACAGTGCGTGCTGGCCTGAAACAGCAGCACGCTGGTCAGGTGGAGGACCAGAGCGGGATCCTCGGTGTCCTTCAGCTGCTCAGTCAGGGCCTGGCGGTGCAGGAACAGGGCTTGTCTGCAAGACACGCATTCACACACTTCTAGACTCCATAAGTGGATCAGGGTGAAGAGTTTTGTGGCTCGAATGTGCTTTCACTACCTCTCTTTTTTCTTGTCTCCTTTCTTTAGCATGAATCCACAAACCTCAGCACAGGTATCCAAGTTAGTCACAAAGTCTTCAATGGACTGTAAACACAGAAAGCAAATCCACCTTACTTAAAATGTTATCCCTCAACCTTTCCCCAGATTAGCGATTTTTAAATTTCAAGGTATTAGCTGTCATTTTGCAGTCACCCACAGTGCAAGACTATTTTAGACAGGCATACTACTTACTTTGCCGTTCAGGGAGTTGTGCAGCTTCAAAAGAGGCCCTTTGGTCTCCTCTGACAGTTTGCCTAAAATCTTCAGTCTGACCTGCAGTACCAAATCGCATATTCAGTGTGAACCGTTGAATTCAGCTCCACAGATAATCGTAACACAGTTTGAGTTTCAGGTTGCCAAGAGGAGCGACAGACACAGACCTCGTTGGTGATGGTGCTGGGATTCTCCACGGACATCATCAGGTCAGCAGCCAGGAAGTTAACCAGGATGTTACTGACATCAGTGCACACGGTCTTCAGGATGTGCTTAGCGATGTGGGCCTGGGTATCATCTGCATGCATAAAAAACAAACAAACAAATATTGCATGTAAAGCCTTTGAAATTTTGGATGATTCTGCTCAGCCCTCACCGTTTTTACAGTCATTTTCACCATGATACACACGTTTTATAGCCTAATCTCTCCAGTGAATTAAGTCGGAGAGCTCCAACTTTAGCAGTTGTTCAGCTGCTTCTATTTTCTTTGCATTTAAGTGCACAATTCTCAATAAATAACTCACTACTCTTGTCATATTACAAGGAGGTTTTCCTAATACGAAGAGTGCTGGGTGTAAAGCAAGGTCAATACACAAAACCTGTTATATTTCTTTTATGTTCCTCTAGAAATCCTGGAGATTTGGACAGTTTTAGATTGAAGTTCCCTTACATACTTAAATGTATTGGCTCTATTTTGAAGTAACAGATGAGTGTGTCATCACGTTTTCACATTCTAATTAAATTACCCCGATGTTGTGGCTGCCACTTAGTTTTGGATGTTTGTTCTTCTTTTTCATCTGTTAATATCACAATATTGTGTCTCACTATGAGGTTTTTGTCAGAGCTTTACTAAAAAACAACAACATTTGCTCATTTGTCAGCGTTTAATCCAAAAGTGGAAATTCAACCCAGTGTGTGTGATGTTCAAAGAGGAGGTAATATCTGGTATTAGTTACAGGGTTTAATACTACAATGCCAGATATTTTTTTCAAAATAATCCGTATGTATCTTAAATTGGGCCTTGGTGCCGCTTTTGACTTCACTTTCTTCTAACCTTTAGCATCCACCAGCCCATCTGTGGTCTGTTGTGGGTTTAGGGCTGGTGCTTTTAGCCACACACTATATAAACTGACTTTGAGAAACTAGAAGATATTGTTTGTCTTGTAACTTAGCCATTACAATTTTCTCTTAAAAGCTTTTTGACAGCTTAGCTGTTGATGCAGCAACGAGCTCCTTCTTCTGAATGACTGCCCTCCAGGTGGGTGGAGCTTCTGTGCTCAT